CAGGTGATGGCCTTGCAGGCGAAATGAAAGGGAGGGGAAAATTCCTTTAATTTAACTGTAAACCATGCCACTCTCACAATAATCATGCTCCTGCTTAAAACTGCAAGGGGGTCTCTCCCAGGTGCAAAGAGACCATTCATTTCTGCTTTTTAATCTCAATAAGCGAGGACTCTTCTTGCCTGCCATTGTATTTGCCCAGCACAACTCACAGCTGAGGAAAAGCACGCACTGGTTTGCCAAGACAACATTCTTTCAGATGACTAGCTCTTTCCTCTGTAGTTATTAATGTGTCACATATCATAGGCTCAGAATGTCTAGTTTTATGGGAAAATCTACTAGAAGGAGAAAAAAATAAAGGAAACTTCCAGGGAAATTGATTAAAAGGAAATAAGATATTTGACCCAATTTAGTGGAACAAAATACTGTCAATAATAGAAACCATTTAAATTCCTCAGATGGACACTCTGTTCTTCAGTAATAAATTTTGGTTGGTTTGTTTTGTTTTTACCACCTTGGAATATCTATTATAAGAACAAGATTTTAGAATCCTTCTCTTTCTCATGCCAAGAGCAATCATTTAAGGGATTCCTGTGCACAGCTTAGTAGCAGCAAACATGGATTCTATAACACAAGAACTGTGAAACACTTTGGAAAGGATTAACCAAGATCCATGAGAATGAAAGCACTGAGGTAGTGTGAATGTTACTCATAACCTCTACACGCATATCTCACAGACGTCTGCGTTAAGTAATATTTGGTTGCAAATATCGTAGAGTAAAACAAACTGCACATCTGCCTCAGCCCGACAGGTGCTAATGTGGCTACTCCGAAATCCCTTCAATACTCCTCTGCCTTATGGACGTTTCAGCCAAGGAGTAGAAACATGACCTCAACGATAAATCACTCACCAAGAAATGAGTTTCTGCTCATCATGAAAGGTAAATCAAAGCAAATGAACAGAACTAATATTACAGAAAGTGTTTGAACAGTCTGAAAACAATGCTCACATCTGTCAAGATCAAAACCCTCCAGGGCTAATTCGCCCAGTGGACTGTTGTTACTGTGGTTGTATTTTAAGGGACAAGCTAGCTTGGTAACTCTTCACACCAGAGACTTCACCCAGCTCTGAGACAGCAGCTGTGCATTTGGACATGCTGTGATGCTGATGACAATAACATGTTTTAGCACCAAGAAATGCAATGGAAGAGCGTTCAGTTCCATTAGTAATGATGTTTTGAAGACATTAAGACATTAGGGCTCATGTTTACTGACTTAGATTTCAGGTCATTGCTAGTAGATTTTAGATACTCAAAGCTTATACCTTGCATTGCTGAGCAGTATCAGCATTTTGTTGCAGCCCAGGGTGGTGGCGTACAGGATGGCACAGGGCAGCTTGCTCAGGGGAGCCCTGGGGCATCAGACAGCCATGCAAATAGCTGTGCAAAAGCGTTCACACGCAGAGGGGTGTGCAGGCGGGCGTCGGGCCAAGGAAGGCGTTGCTGCACAGATCCGTCGGCTGCAGATCGCAGGGAGACCTAATGTAGCCTCCACTGGGTGTACTGCCATTGCAGGGCCTCGGCACAGAGCAACACCCAGGAGAAGGGATCTTCCTCACCTTTCCAGCACCACACCCACAAGACGGTAGCTTTTTACCCCTTCCTAAATGATAACCTGTTGCTACAGTTACCAGAGGACTCTCAAAAGGCTTTTTTCTCCTCAGTGGCTTCACAACGAATCAGCTGGCAAAAGGAGAAAAGAGCTGCTAGCTGCTGAATGTGCAGGCATGTCTGGATACGAGGTCCATTTTGAGGCATAACTGATCATTTAACAACGTATCACCTCCTTGGTCCTCCCACCAGCTGCCTGGGAAGGAACTTGCTCCAGATGATTCTTTGAACCTGTGAAATCTCCTCCTAAAACCTGTCAAGGGCTGAATGTGACACAGACGAGGTAGAACCAGAACACCCCACGAAAAGCAGACACTCCGCAGGTCTTGCTTCATTGCAGCTAATGGTCCTCTGACACTGGTGGGAGCTCTTAACTGGGATCGGCTTCTGCTGGGGAAAGCACTCGGATAGTCTGCTGGTAGCAACGGCACTCCCGAGGGGAACCCCTGGGCTAGGGAAAATGGCCAGTCATCTTAAAGCTGCTGCCGACTCCCTATGGGGTGTTATTAACAGCTATCAGACAGGAGTGATCTTATGGACGAGTTCCTTAGGGACAAGGATTCCTGAGTGGCCATGTAAAAAAGAACGAAAAGCAAACAAAGAAGAAAAGAGCACTCTGACAGTGCAAGGAGATGGGACCCAAGGAGAAGATGCTGCAGAGCCCCAGCCTGTCCCCTTCTGCAACATCAGGGCTAGCAAGGTGACTTCAGCTTATATGAGTTAAAAGGAGACTGAGCTCTGAAATATACAGACTGTCCTGGAGAAACCTAGATTAATCCTCTGCAGTGTGATTTAACCTGCATTTCTACCTGCTAGTTGAATCAACTAATGTTTATTAACCATCTTCCCAGAAGATGGCTAAGATCAGAAAGTGGTACTAAAATGCATAAGCATTGCTAAATGCGCGATGCTGTGACGGTGCGCTCTATCCGCAACAAATGCAAATTCCAAACGGAATAGGCTTATTTCTCTGGATTACTTTATCTTACTTCTGTGAGTTCAGTAAAGGATAGTCCTTAACATATCCCTCCAAGATTACCAGTATATCCAGTTTCCAAAAGATAAAGCTTTCATTTTTTCTTGGCAAACAAATGTATTTTTTCTCCTAGGAACTTTATTGTCTGCTACACAGCCAACATTTTAATATTTTCAATTTAATTCTAATGACCTTATAAATAAGCCACTTAAACCAGTACCTCCACTCATGGATTTTTATGCCTCTATGATTCATCAAAGTGAGCATGTCCTCAGAATAAATGCTTAGCCATAGTAAAGAAACCGTTGCAAATAGCAGTCATTGCACAGGCAAATTAGATGTGCACGTGCAAGTTAGAAAATGAGGTCTATTCTATAAACCGTGACCTCTCTTTGATGACGGGCACAAATACAATGTGCAATTTTGGCAAGTCCTTAGAAATGCCTGGCTAACTCTTTCTGAAAGAGCTATTTGCTCTTCCTGTAGGAGAACTCACATTACTAGGGGATGAGCTGTGGGGCTCACTGCATAACTGGTGGCCATCACCCTTTGTCCTGGACTTATCTTATGTAAGAGCTACACTTGGAGTTACACCACCTGAGCAGCTCCCAATTTCAGGCAGGAGGAGGCTGTTTTCACTAGGAAAAGAAATTGCGGGGAAGCCAGTGATCTTTTGCTGCAATTCCTTTTCTATCCACAGAAGTTGCAGTTTACCAAACGTTTCCTTTAGCAAAAGGGCCTTTGTTTGAGCTGGGACAGGTGCCTGTTCGGGATGGAGGCCACTATTGTTTCAACCATCTGGTTCCATAAAGGACCCTAAGGGTTTCCTATGGAGAAAGGTGGTGGCTACTCCCCCTATTCTCTTTTCTCTTTCATGGTGCCAGGAGTTTTCCTATAACTGGTAAAACACTTAGATAGCTGGTATCTTCTCATAAAAGTTACCAAGGGATCATACCTGCCCACCACCCTCTCCCTAGTCTTTCCTTGTTTATTCATTTCTACTGTTCTTTTCAAAGCCATCCTCAATAATTCACTAGTTACATTTTCTCTTGATTTCCCATCCAAAACTGGCTCCTCTCTTACTGTAACTAATAAGAAATTGATATTTAAGCAGAGCCTGCCTCTCAATAAATAAAACTCACACATGGGAAGCTCTTCAATGACTTTCTTCACATGACTTATGGCAAGACAGGTTCTGCTGAAGTGGGTGAGTCATTCAGTAGAGGGAGAGGAAAACTGTTCATTTTGTATTTGTGAAATCCCCAAACCGCTGAAAAGGCACAATTTACCAACAAAAAGCATCACAGGATGCACATAAACCAGAAAAGTGGGTGAAGCCCTTCCAGAAATGACTGTGACTTTGGGGCCCCTTGCTGAAGGCCTCTCTTTCTCAGGATCCAGTACGTTAAAATGAGTGGGAGGTAAGGGTTTCTCAGTTTACACACTTGTAGGATTTGCTCCAGGAATCAAAACTGCAACCTTTCTTCTGTCCCTCAGGGGAATACCAGAATAACTGGGGCTTTCCCTGGTTCAGCTGCAGCCTCCTGAGATGCACACCCCTGAGAGCTGTTATCTAGAAAAACAATAACCAGGATGAGCCTCAGCCTCAAAATCAAACCTCTTCTCCATTTCATCTGTGTTCCTACCACAGCTCAGAGCAGAGGACGGTGGTCACTCCTTAAAAAGGAAGGATTGGCCACAATGCTGGGATCTGGTCCAGGTTTCAATTTCAAGCCTCTTAGCACCTGTAGGCTGTGGATAATAACTTCTGCTTGCACTGTTCCTAAAAATAAAATCACTGTCTGCAAGGCAGACAGAATATCACACTCGCACAGAGTGCACGCCCATATACACACGCCCACATTGACTCCGCTGCTCCCACAAAAGACCTCCTAGCCACAAGGATCCAGCAGCAGCAAACTAATAAACAACATTTTCAAAAGCTCCGAAATCCCTTGCTGTCCTCACAAGCTCCAAGCATGCTCGAAGGAGCCCACCTCCTACCAAAGCTTACTTCTCCTGTCCAGAGCACACACCTGGCAGCCAGCCTCTGCTGCATGACAAGGTCTCTGGCTCACCTTCTCACAAACCTTTGGGCCATCCCTGCTTGACTGAAGAGCCCGCAGACTCCAGTGGAGCTGTGTGGAGCAGAAAAAAGGAGCTCATACAACTTAGAGCTGCATGGTCACACTGAGCCAGCCAGCAACAGCGTGCCACAACAGCAGAGCACCTTGCATTCTTGCTTATTTGACTGCTGCGTGGATGTAGGTTTTTCTCCCTCTGTGCTAGGCTGGAGCACTAGGCAGGAAGATCATTGTTGCAAGAGACAGAACAAGCAAATCTCAGGGGATACTTACAGCACTCGATGGGGTTAGATGCCGCCTGCAGGGAAATGATTCTGCCGTTGGCCTCCGGGATGTGCACGCGGAAGACGAGCCGAACGCGGGTGTTCTTCCGGCCAATGTCTGTCTCTCCTTTACGCAGCTCAATGTCTGCATTCCTCAGCTTCAAAATCCCTGCACAGTCGATGCTGCCAAGCACACAAGCCGCTTAGAGTAGACGTAGCTTAATACTCCTGCTCTCAAATCAACTATTACATAGATGATAGTCAAGAGGACTAAACTTTCCTAGGACTGATTTTCCTGAGGACTAAATTTGGTTAGGAGGAGCTCCAGAGTCTCATTCCCTTTAGGGCCTCGATATTGCCATTTGAACAGGTAACAGAGCAAGAACCCCAAAACGAGCGCTAGGGCTCAGCAAAGGATGCCCCAGGGAAGTGAGGGACGCTGTTGGACCTCTCCTCCAAACAGTCCTTGGCCTGGTGGCTCAGCATGTCCTAGGCACGTCCCAGCCCGGGGACAAGGCCAGAGTTAGTGTTTAGTGGCTTCCATGCCGGGGACTCCTCCAAAATGTTATAACCCTCTGAATCTTATTTCTCTCCTACGCTAAACACAAGAGGCCCAAGGCAGCACCCATCCTGGTGCTGCGGCACACCGGGATAGGGCACATAAACATGAACAAGAAGTACAAGGTGGAACAGGCAACGCATGGAGCCTGTGCTGGAGAGCTGTAAGGCGCTAAAGTCTCCCCTGCCAGCTCTCCAAACAGCTTTAGAGCCCAGCAGTTGCACAGCAGCTATTACCATCATGCAGGCAAATTAGTCCAGCTCTGCGGGAAATCTCAGCAGTTGAACTACCTAAGAGCACGCAACGTTCAAGCATGTTTTGCTCACAATTTGTATGGACAAGCAGCACTGAATTCATTTTCAGAGCAGGAACCAAAACGCTGCTGCTCCTTTCAGACAAGGTAGGGGCTACTGCTAAAACTGCAGTCTCCAGCCCTGGCTCAGGTTACCACGTTACCCACCAAGGCCCTCAGAGGTCATTCCCAGCCAAGGAAACAACCTACAGCAAAGCAAATGGTTCTCTGCTCCCAGTCCCTATGGCCCTGCGCAAAGGGAGGGTTTAGGAAGGAGGATGGGGCTGGGAAAGGATTAGGACTGCTAAACCAGTTTGTGTAAGCCGGACCAGTTAATCTTCACAGAGCTTGGGATCTTCAGTTCAGCAACACTTTGCAGAGGGTGCAATGAAAACTGTTACTATATGGATACTATCAAGTACTGTTTTGATACATACACTATTTTTCCTTCATTGACAAGAATTAAAATCATTTCTTGTGAGGCATAAACCCCACTGTTTCCTACACCCACACTGTTCCTTGCCACTGTACATGCGCAAGGGTTTATTATTCTAGGGTTACTCATTAGGAACAGAAACTTATGTTCCATTTGGTGCTTGGCTGCTTAAGTTTGAGACGTGGACTATTATTTATTTCCTTGGGTGCAGGGAGAAGGAGAGGCTTGAGGGAAAGGGATAAATGAGGTATTTGTTCTGAAAAAGATATGAAGAAAGAATGTGGATTTTGCGATGGAAGTAGGGGGCTTAAAAACATAGCAGTTCTGCCAATTTTTTCAATATCCGCTGAAGGATGGACATATAGCTCTTCCCTCTACAGAGCAATCACTCTAACGCTGCCTGGAACACATTCAGCCCTGACATTTCAGACTGGTGCCCACTTCATCCCTCTTCCTCCATAAAACTAGAAGAAATAATATAGAAAAGATGTGCCTGTACTTGCTTTTCTGATAATATACTACAATGAGAGATACTGTGATTTCACGGCCAGAGCAACCTGGCTTGAGTTCAGGAGATGCTTTCTATTCCATTAAACGTCCTAAAACAAAACATACACCTTTCCTCCACTGCCTACTGGTCCTTGCTGCTCTTGCATCTTTTCTCACTGTATCACTGCAGCATAAAGACTGGAGATTCAAGTCTCATTTTCCTACAAAACCATTCTGACTTTGAATATGACAGATGATTATCATACAGTCACTGCAGCAATTAGGTAAACAGGAAAAAATATGTGTACTCATATATCGTCCCAATGCATTGGAATAGGGAGTCCCTCTAGAGCAGACATCTTTATTCATTTAAGTGAGTCCTTTCTGTAGGAGGAAGAACTTCACATGCCAATTTAATCCTCCTCAACTTTGCTAATAAAAAAAAAAATGCTTACGTTGCTTTCATATTGTTTTTGGGTTCCAGTGGGATCTCTAAAACTTTGGTGTTGCCAATGATTTTTTCATAGCTGGTGGTAGTGACAGTTTTTCCCGTAATGCGATGGACTTGATAGAATGCATGAGGTTTAAGTATCCGTTCGTCTGCTGTCCCAATGAAGATCTGAAGACCCAAAGGTTTGTTCTCCATGTAACCGTGAAGCTGGTAAGAAATTAAAAATCTGTTACCATCCACAGGACTTGCAATACCCTCATATTTAGAAACCAAAAAGTTCTAAAAACATGCATATAGATATGTAGACATATATAGATACAAAGTTATGTGTAGTACTAAAACCAGACTTTTTTCTACTCTCAGAGATAGATTTCCTCGTAAGAGTATTTGCTGGAGTCCATGGTACACGTGGGAGGCAGCTAATGAAAACATATTATTAATCTTATGATATGAAACATATCAAGAAGAAAAAAAAATCCAGACTTAAGCTCTCCATTACCAGAAATTTGTTAATTGTATCCAAAAAGGATTGATAAATCCACTAGCAGGGTACGTTTTTCAGTATGTTTATTTAATTTGCTGCGACCAGTTCCAAAATAAGTTTCAAAAGACTTTTGCCGGGTGCATGGATACAGTTGCAAAGTGGAGGTGACTCCCGGCACCTGCAGCCTGGGGCAGTGCTCCCTGCTCTGGCTGGTAGGAAACGCAGTAAGGAGCGAACAAAGCGTCCTTCTGCTGGCATCGCTGCCAGGAATACACCATCCCCCCATACGTTTTGATGTTATGGTGTATACGCCGTACCCCCATATGCTCTGATGCTATGGAGCTGCATGGACCTGCACGAGAGCTTTCCGTTAGCTTAACAAAGCTAACGGAAAATGCCCATTGGCTTCAGTGGGCTTTTGGTCAGGCCCTATGTGCTATCCAGCTTGTAAACACATGTCTAGTTTATGTCCAACCTAACATTCACTACAATGGTTTTGCCCCAACTCAGCCTGTGACTCCTACTACAACTGCAGTAAAAAAATACCTTTTTTTCCCCCAAACAGGAAGTATCTAGAAAATGCATCTGTGTTTTTGAGAATTGAAATGCTAAATTATGTACAAACGTTTTAAAAAATTAATGACGCCTGCAACATCTTTTTCTCTGGCCTCAGTACGTGCACTCTCGGCCGCTCCCAACCCCTCCAAACCCCACTGGAAAGATAATCCTCCCAACCCCTCGTTCTACTCGAGTCACCCCTCGCTTCACATCTCTCCAGTTCCTTTGTCTCCTCATACCAGACGTAAGCTAGCTGTCCTCCCCTTCAAGCTCTTCTCTTCGCTCTCCCACCTCTCATTTTGTAGCCAGTTATCCATATCTATTCTCAGACTTCCCAAATCCAGCACCAAACACCAGCATTAGGTTCTTAAACAGTCACAGCATTGAATTTTCTGCCATTCTGCCTCGCCCCCAAGGGAGGCTCTGCACTTTCAATACCTACATCTCCACCCTACAAGACCCCCTAACTGCAATACTCTTCAATAGTCTTAAAAGAAAGAATACGTTCTTGTTCTCCTGAAGTCACTTATGTGGCCGGGGCTGATTCACTGCTCCTTGAACCTCATCCTTCCCCTCCTGTTTTTAGTCCACGTTCAGCCATGGGACTTGCATTACATTACATTGCAATCTATACAGGTAGAGATGATGGTTTCGTTCTGTAATTGTACAGTGCCTGGCACAAAGAGGTCTCAGTTCATGGCTGGGGCCACTAGGGCTCAAGGAAATAAAATAGACTCTTTTGTACTAAGTAGCATTTTTATAAAGAGCGTTTGCTGTTGGAGAAGCACACAAAGCCAGAATCCCTCCACAGGCCAGGAGATGAGGAAATATCTTTTTCTTTATTAACATTCAAAATTACAACTCAAACCATTCTAAACATCTCACATAACCAAAAATTAAAAACAGACATTCATTTATCTACCGCATAGCCAGCCATCTAGCTGAAAAGGAACTTTATGGTCTGAGACATGCTAAATTTGTTTTTAATTATTCTGTCCACAAACAAAACCTTGATGAAGCCATACAAAGCAAATAGTACGGAAAGATCAGAGAAAAGAATGATTAGCCTAATAACATTCACGGCCGAACCTTTTTTTCTCTTTTCTTTTCACCAGTCAGCAGGAGGTATCTTTGCATAGAGGGACTAATTCCCCCCTGGAACAGGACCACATGCAGCCTCCCTGCAACCCTGGCCGCCTCCCTTCAGCACAGTAATGCGACACACTCTTCCGAGCTACCATCGTTCATCAAGCATGTACTGGCAAGGCATGCAAAGACTAGCTCTATGCTCCAGGGACCCTGCAACCCAAGGGCCCAAGTTTGCAGCCTCCACCTACGCGAATAGCTCCACTGAAGACAACGGGACGTAAGGAAGGGCCGTGTATGAAAGAATGGCAAAATCCAGCCCAGCCACAGTGCGGACACCTAGGGTATTTCAGTCGCGCAAGCTCTTCAGGGGATTGTTAAGAGGTGAAATAGGGTACAAAGCTCTGTGCAGACAGCCAAGTTGGCTCTAGGATGAGATGGAGAAGGAGCAGAGCTGGATACCGGGATGGTATCAGGGAAGCAGCTGTGCCAAGAATGTGATAAATACAATTGCAGCCACAAGGAGATTTAGACATGTATGGGGTAAAGTTGAAGGTTAGAAGATTAAAGGTAACGGAAGTCAGAACGACACGTCTGTTGGGAACAGGCATGAATGTGTGGATCATCCCTTGTTCAGTGGGCAGAGGCCCACTGGACGCCGTTCCTTGGAGAGCCATACTGAAATTCATCCCAAGCTTGGTACTTTCGGGATCCAAGATTTCCTGGCCTTCAGTGAAAAGCCAGTGCACAAAAAAAAGCCACCTTGTCTTTACAAGGGGAGAGGGAGGAGAGGGGAGTACATTTAAATACTGAGTGTGTTTATTCTCATGCCTGACAGCAATAGTTCTGCATGGATCCAGCTAAGATGAGGAGAGGATCCTCCAGACTGGAATAGTTATTACAGTGGCAGCAAAACACCACTTCTTCTGCCCCCTGCCCTGGCAGAACAAAATCCCTGAATTATAGATGGGAGACTGGAATGGAGGAAAACAGATAATGAATTATGAAAGAAAATCTGCCCCCAGTGAGCACATAGTCAGTAGCGGCTGTAATAGAGCCAGCTCTACTCACAATTTTTTAATACTGGCCACCTTTAGAAGTAATTTTCAGTAGTGGTTTTGCTCATGCATAGAATGAGTTCCCAAGGTAAAACTATTCACAGTCTTCTAATAATATCTATGTCTGTGGGTGTGTGTCCATATAAATACATACATATTTAAAAGAGAAAGGAATCGGTTTCCTGCTCATACAGCAATGTTTATATCACCTGCTGGACTAGGGGGTATAAAACACACAGTATAAGAGCTTCTGGTCCTTCAAAGGACCAGATTTTAAATCTTTTGTTTGATCAATAGAAGAAAGTAAGAAAATTACTTAGTAATTTATGACATCATGGCAATGCTTTGGGATGACATCGCTGGAAAATTAAAATAGTCTTATAAAATGCAAAGAGAATGAAAAAAATAGATACATGAGAGCCAAACACAGAGGCTTAAAGGGTACATCCTTATCTTTATTTGTTTACATTTTGTATTTAAAGGGCTAAGATAGGTGATGATTTACCATGAGCACTTCCAGCTACCTTTTACACTGCAAGAACATGCTAGGCTGACTTAGGAGCAAAAAATGAAGGTGGGAGCTCACAGACCTGCTCCAGGCATGTTACAATCAGCGTCCTAACCCCAGCTCTGCCGTAAACTTACTGCATGGCTTTGTTCATGTCATATAACCTCTCTGTTTATCTGTAACATGGGATTAGTGATGCTAACCCTACTTCCCAGAGACAGTAATGAGTTAATGTTTTGTGCTGCCTTTTTATAGAGAGAAATTCATTGTGAGCAAGAATGAAAGAACACAAAGGCTCTGTTTCAGATGCATCTTTCCGCAGTATTGAAATATGAGAGACCATTATTCTTGATAAACACTCACCTAGGCTATCCTAGCCAACCACTTCACAATTTAACCAAAAAGCTGATCTTTTCTGTGGTGGCGCAAAGAAGGGGAGAGGAAAAGCAGTTTCCAAAAGAACCCCATGGAGAAGTGAAAACTTAAAAGTTATTATTTTAAAAATGTTTTAGGTTCATTTTTTCTGCCCTAGCAACAATCAAATCACTCTAAAAGTCTAAATTTCTCAATCCTACAGTTTTGCTCATCTAACGGAAAGGGAGACCTCAGTTCACATTGCAATGAGAAGCAGCTGCCCAAGGGGAGGGTATGAGGCTATGCTATTTTTTTGGGCTAACTGGGAGTTTCACCAGAGACGAGACCAGAGGACCAACCCAGGGCCAAGGTGTTCTCTGTCTTTTTCACTCTTCTTTCAGTGAAGAAAAAAAAAAAAGCATCTGGATTTCAGTTTCAAGAGAGTGAGACTCAAGAAAGATTTATGAATAGAGAACCCTGGAAGGAAATATTTTTGTGCATTATAAGGTGAGCTATTCACAATAAAACTCCCCCAAACTGTATACAGATCAGGCTGGAAAAAACCCAACTCCTTTGAGTCACATTTGCCACAAGGGGAAAGAGAAGCCAGACATGATGTGTACCTTTCCATACTCTATTTTGGGATTTTAGGATCCTATTTCTTTCAGTCAAAAGATTTTTCTTAAACTTTGCTTTTGCATTACTCTTAGAATATTAACATAGCCAGACATGGGCTGGTCTGTGACCTGAGGAAATGCAAAGCACTTTGGCAGATAAACAAATAACATCATTCAGAAAACAAGGAGGCTTTTCTTGTTTGGTTTGCTGCTACGATTGGTTTTCTAAACAAAATGGAAATTTGTGGAAGGATTAAAATTATTGGCTCACCTCTGCAAAAAGAAAACTCATTCATTCTGCACTCCATCCATGGATCAATATCAGTTAAATTTGTGAGAAGCGGTTAAACGCACATATTACTGCACAGAATGGCACATGTGTGAAATTCTGCATGCAAAAAAAACGAGCAGATGTGCCATTAGCAGCTGCACATCAGCCATCCAGTTACCCACCTAAACACACAGCTACTGTGACTCTGTGGGCAACTATAGCAAACGAGACCACACATTAGGCATACAAAAGAACACAATTTTTTCCTGAA